GGTCTGGGGCTGGGGTCCCTGTTGGGGTCTGATGGAAAGGGAAGTGATGAGGAGCAGCTCCCAACGCCCCCCGTGCTCGGGGGGTGCTTTGCCCGCCCCCCCGTGCCAAGGGCTCAGGCAAGGCTGGTGGTGAGGGAACAACATCCCGGTTTTGCCTTGGGAGCTGCTGGTGAAAGGGGTTCTGGGGTCCAGCCCTGGCTCTGCCCGCAGTGCAGGAACCTTTCGGGGGGTCCCAGGAAGCGCAAGAGCAGAGAAGTTCCCCCCTCTATTCTGCATTGGTGAGGCCACATCTGGAGTGTTGTGTCCAGTTCTGGGCCCCTCAGTTCAAGGACAGGGAACTGCTCGAAAGAGTCCAGGGCAGAGCTACAGAGATGATTAAGGGAGTGGAACATCTCCCTGATGAGGAAAGGCTGAGGGAGCTGGGTCTCTTTAGCTTGGAGAAAAGGAGACTGAGGGGTGACCTCATCAATGTTTACAAATATGTAAGGGGTGAGTGTCAGGGGGACGGAGTTTGGCTTTTCTCAGTGATGACCAGTGATAGGACAAGGGGTAATGGGTGTAAATTGGAGCATAGGAGGTTCAAGGTGAATATCCGAAAAAATTTTTTTACTGTGAGAGTGACAGAGCCCTGGAACAGGCTGCCCAGGGAGGTTGTGGAGTCTCCCTCACTGGAGACATTCAAAACCCACCTGGATGAGTTCCTGTGTGATGTACTCTAGGTGACCCTGCTCTGGCAGGGGGGTTGGACTAGATGATCTTTCGAGGTCCCTTCCAGCCCCTAAGATTCTATGATTCTATGATTCTATAAGTTAAAGCTGTTCTTTGAGGCCTTGTCTGGGCAGGGCTGGGTTTGTGCTGGGATGGGGCTGAGGAGGGAATTGCAGCTGCGTTTTTCACCCCCTCTGGCCGCTCCTGGTGTCACCAGCTGCCTCAAGGGCTGAGTGACGCTGGGGGACGAGTGTCATGCAAACCTCTTCCCGGAGCAGGACGCAGAGGTGCTGAATGCCTTCTTTGCCTCTGTCTTCACTCCTGCAGGGTCTCCCTATGAGCCCCAGATTCATATAGCCCCAGAAGAAGTCAAGATAGAGGAAGAGTTTGACATGGTAGATGAGGATTGGGTTAGGGATCAGTTGAGTAATCTGGACATCCATAAATCAATGGGTCCAGATGGAATGCACCCAAGGGTGCTGAGGGAGCTGGCGGAGGTCATTGCTAGGCCACTCTCCATCATCTTCAGTAAGTCATGGGCAACAGGTGAGGTGCCTGAGGACTGGAGGATAGCAAATGTCACTCCAGTCTACAAGAAGGGCAAGAAGGAGGACCCGGGTAACTATAGACCGGTCAGCCTCACCTCCATCCCTGGAAAGGTGATGGAACAACTTGTTCTTGTGACTATCTCCAGGCACATCAAGGACATGGGGGTCATCAAGAGCAGTCAGCATGGTTTTATCAAGGGTAAATCATGTTTGACTAACCTCATAGCCTTCTATGAGGAAATTACTAGGTGGATAGATGATGGTAGAGCGGTAGATGTGGTTTATCTTGATTTCAGTAAAGCATTTGACACCGTCTCCCACAGCATCCTTGTAGAAAAGTTGATCAGGTATGGGTTTGGTGATCAGGAAGTGAGGTGGATTAGGAACTGGTTGAAAGGAAGGAGTCAGAGAGTTGTAGTCAATGGGGCAGAATCTGGTTGGAGGTGTGTGACTAGTGGAGTCCCACAGGGGTCGGTACTGGGACCGGTGTTGTTCAACATCTTCATCAACGACCTGGATGAGGGTATAGAATGTACCCTCAGCAAGTTTGCTGATGACACTAAGCTGGGAGGAGTGGCTGACACACCAGAAGGCTGTGCTGCCATTCAGAGAGACTTAGATAGGTTGGAGAGTTGGGCGGGGAGAAACATGATGAAATTCAACAAGGGGAAGTGCAGAGTTTTACATTTGGGGAAGAACAACACCATGTCCCAGTACAGGTTGGGGGCTGAACTGCTGGAGAGTAGTGTAGGTGAAAGAGACCTGGGGGTCCTGGTAGACAGGAGGATGACCATGAGCCAGCAATGTGCCCTTGTGGCCAAGAAGGCCAATGGCATCCTGGGGTGCATTAGAAAGGGTGTGGTTAGTAGGTCAAGAGAGGTTCTCCTCCCCCTCTATTCTGCATTGGTGAGGCCACATCTGGAGTATTGTGTCCAGTTCTGGGCCCCTCAGTTCAAAAAGGACAGGGAACTGCTCGAAAGAGTCCAGCGCAGAGCTACGAAGATGATTAAGGGAGTGGAACATCTCCCTTATGAGGAAAGGCTGAGGGAGCTGGGTCTCTTTAGCTTGGAGAAAAGGAGACTGAGGGGTGACCTCATCAATGTTTACAAATATGTAAGGGGTGAGTGTCAGGGGGACGGAGTTTGGCTTTTCTCAGTGATGACCAGTGATAGGACAAGGGGTAATGGGTGTAAATTGGAGCATAGGAAGTTCAAGGTGAATATCCGAAAAAATTTTTTTACTGTGAGAGTGACAGAGCACTGGAACAGACTGCCCAGGGAGGTTGTGGAGTCTCCTTCACTGGAGACATTCAAAACCCACCTGGATGAGTTCCTGTGTGATGTACTCTAGGTGACCCTGCTCTGGCAGGGGGGTTGGACTAGATGATCTCTCGAGGTCCCTTCCAGCCCCTAAGATTCTATGATTCTATGATTCTATAAGTTAAAGCTGTTCTTTGAGGCCTTGTCTGGGCAGGGCTGGGTTTGTGCTGGGATGGGGCTGAGGAGGGAATTGCAGCTGCGTTTTTCACCCCCTCTGGCCGCTCCTGGTGTCA